CTGGGACCTTCTGCATGCAAAGGGGAGGCTCTGCCACTGAGCCTGGCGGAAGAGCTCCGTCTTACAGTCCCTGCGGAACTGCAGGCGGTCCCGCAGGGCCCTGATGCCATCATCCAGGAGCTCATTCCACCAGTGAGGGGCCTCCACAGATCAAGGCCCTGGCCCTCATCGTAGCCAACCTGGCCTCTTTCGGGCCTGGAAGGGCCAGGCGATTTTGGGACCCAGATCTTCATGCTCTCTGGGGCACATGTGGGGGTGCAGCCCTCTGCTGGGCAGGAAGAGAGAGGAGAGCTTCACGTCCCCGTGCCCCCTTGTCTCCCCCAGGTGACTTGCGTGGTCAACTCTTTCCAGAGGGCTCCACCCCCAGCCCAGCCGCCCCTGCCCCCGGAGGGCCTGGCCAGCGACCCGGTGGTGGACTTGCCCTGCGTCGACCGTTCCCTGGAGAAACTGAGTGTCGCTCAGGTGAGGCTCTTCCCTGAGGTTCCCCCCCCGCATGCCCCCCGCCTCACAGCGCCCTGCGACGTCGCTGCCGTGCGCATGCATACACGCGCGGTCCTTGCCCGGGGGTGCATCCAGACCAGGGCCTTCGCTTCTCTCCTCCCAAGGACAGTCCTCAGCGCAGCAGCAGGGCTACGGTTCTCCAGGTGAGGGACCGGGGTCACAGTTGAGGAGGGAGGGGTCTTGGGGGGTTGTGGGTGGGTGTCCAAAGCCACAGCAGCATCTGGTGCCAACGTCGGGGGCTGCATCCCCCATCCCCAGTCGAGGGGGAACAGGCGGTGGAAATGGAGGAACAGACCAGAAGCCAGTAATACGTGGGGGAGGGCAGGTGAATCGGGGACGGGGGGGGCAGAGGACGAGTGGGACCCAGACCCCAACAGAGAAGGTCCCTGCTGCTCTGCTCATACTGGGGGGGGGCACAATTTTTATATTTATTCATTTATATTTAAATTTATATCCTGCCGCCGTGACAGGCTCAGGACGGCTAACAACATAGACATTAAAATTCCAATATATACAGATAGATAGATGATAGATAGATAGATAGATAGATAGATAGATAGATAGATAGATAGATAGATAGATAGATAGATATAGAAAGATAGATATAGATATATACACACACACACATACTAAAAACGGCATTCGGTTAAGATTTTACAATAGAAAACACAGGATCGTAATGCGATGTGAGACAGTCCTTCCGGGAATCTTGGGAAGCAGAGAACCCGCTGAACGATTACAGGGCAAACCCCCCAGCCGTGGCGGGCATTACCCAGTGAGAGGAAGAGGGCTAGGGAAGGACGCATGAGTGGCGAGGGGCTAGTTCTTTGTGGCCGGGGG